GGTGGGGGGGACAGGGAGGGACTGCGGCCTTGGGCTTGGTTCTTTGGGGAGGACAGAGGCACAGTGGGTGGGTCTGAGCTGTGCCCTTCACTTCCAGGCTCATCCTGCTCTTCTCTCCCACTTCTGCGGCCAGGCGCCCCCACCTCTGCCTCCTGGAGCCTTCCTCCTCCTCAGGGCCTTTGAGCAGACAAGTCCCCCCATCCAGATGCATGTTCTCTCCTTGTCCCCAAGTGACTTGGTCCCCATCCCTCAGGTTTGCTGTGCTCCAGGATACCCGGCATTGATACCTGCTTTTGAGGCACCAGATAGGGGAGGTAACTTGCCCCAGGTTGCACAGCAGGCACGTGCGCAGCGGGGCTGGGATTTGACCCCTGGGCCCCTGTCTCCCCAGATGTCCAACTCACCCGTCCTGACTCCTCCCCTGGGAAAGCCTGCCCCTCCGTGACTGCCACACTGAGAGTCGTCTCTCTCTCCCCTCAGTCCCCAGGTACTTTTCCGAAGCAAGCATTTCACTTTGATAATTGGAGTAGGAAGCAGCATGGGATGGCAGAGTTCTGGGTTTGAATCCTGACTCCAGCACTTACAGCTGTAGGCTCTGGGGCCTCAGTTTTCCGATCTCTGAAATGGAGATGACGCACATGCGTCTTGGGCTTGCTGTCTCTGGGGATTGCGACGCCCCTGGTGTGGTTCCTGGCGCATCGTAGAGCTTCCGTAAGCGTCAGCCACGGCCACCGTCATAATTCCTTCCAAAAATGGTCTAAAAATGATTTTCTGACGTGCCTAGGGAGGACGGCGGTGACATCTCACCGGAGGTCTGCCTCGCTGCGCCCTTCCCTGTGACCCTTGAGCCCTGGAGGCAGTGACCTGACAGCAGGAAGTGGGGCTGGAGAGGAGAAGGGCCTCCGACAGTCACGCGGCACCTCGGTTGCTGAGCCAGCGTAGAACCAACCAGGTGTTGCTGGCTCCGTGTTCCATGCTACCTGCCTACCTCTTCCAGGGGCCCCCCAGCTGCTGCCTGAGCCCCCTGCCCCCTGGCTTCCTTCACGGGGCCCGAGCGTCCCTTCACGGGCCTGGGGCACGGTATGTCAGGCGAGTGGCTCGTGGTGTCCCGGGAGTAACGGATTCAGGGCGAGTCCTTCCCACCACCAGGGGACAGGCCAGGCAATGGACGGAAAAGGATGTCCAAAGAGGGCCAGTTGAGGGACTTGGGGGATGAGCGGCAGGACGACTGTCTTTCTGAGTGACACAGACCTGAGTTCAGAGCCTCCCTCTGCCACTTTCTAGGTGGGCGGCCCTGGGCATGTTTCTTAGCTTTTTGGGGGCCTCAACTTTTTTCTTTGTACCGTGCATGTGATAGGGACTCAGCTTCACCTCGCCTGCGAGTGAGCGGCGGGGGATGACAGTAAAGCCCAGGGTCTGCCGCCTGGGAGGGGCTCCCTGGAGCGGCAGCTGCTCTTTCGAACCCGTGAGTCGTTCTCACCGTTCCAGTGACCTGCGGGAAGTGGGGGGAGATGTGTCCTGCGTGGCCCCAGATGGCAGAAGGGGCACCAACCAGGCACAGACCTCTGTTCATCCCAAGAGACTTTCTGGTGGTCAGCGCCGTGTTGGGATCGCCTGGGGGGGGAGAGGCAGTGAGCGCTCTGTGACCTGTGAGGCCACACAAGGCTGGCAGGACCTCGGGTTGGGGATGACAAGACCTCGGGCTGTGGGGTCTTGGGAACCTCAGCTTCCCCACCTGCAAAATGGGAGGAATAAGAATGAATCCACTTGTGTGGAAGAGACAGGCTTCCCTCGAAGCTGCCTGGCATCCTGTTTTCCAGAAGAGGAAAGCAAGGTGCAAGGAGTTCATGGGGTTTATAGCAGCAACACCACCAAGCTGCTCTTTCTGGAGCTTCTGCTGTGTGCTGGACGCTTCCCCCGGGCTCCCCTTTGCACTGAATTCCTCGGCCTTTGTACTTGCTGGTCCTTCTGCGGG